AAAAAAAAAAAAAAAAAAAAAGACAGTCAGGAAACCAAGTTCCAAGGCCTGGTTTCTTATTTTGTTTTGTTTTGTGTTTTCCGGTACCAGGAATCAAACTCATAACCTTGTGCTTGCCAGGCAGGCACTGTGCCACTGAGCTAAATTCCCAGCCCAAGGCCTGGTTTCTTAAACGTCCTAGCTCTGAAAGTGTGAGCTGTTTCTTAACCTCTGTAAAGCCTCGTTTTCTCATCTGTGAAAGGAGACACTCATCCTCTGTCTCCAAGTCTTGTTGGGAGCTTTGTGGATGTGTCTGAAATTCCTTAAGCTCCGGTCCAGACCCTTTCCTCTTCCTGGCTGAATTCTTTCCCACGCATGCATGGAACCAGACACACGGAGGACGGAGAATGAATGAATGATGTGTAGAAATCAGTAACTTGACACACTGCCCGGCACACAGCGCTGCTCATCAGAAACCAGGGGTCCATGTGGAGTGCAGCTCTGGCCCAGCATGGCATGCGCCTTGTTGCCTATAATAACGTGTTCGGTTACCTTTCTTTTCTGAGCCTCAGTTTCCCCATCTATAAAATAGGAGTCATCCTTCTAGGTCTCAGGCCATGTTCTACAGATCACTGGAAAATGGTTATGATGTAGACACTCATTTAAAGTGCACATGCTGAGTTGGGAAGATATGTGAAGAGCTTTGCCTGGACAGATGAGGCTCTGCTGATTCTCCCTCAGCAAGGAAGAGGGCTGGGATGGGTCAGACTGTTGGGCAGGAGCAACGGCTGTGGCCATCCCAGAAGGCTGTGCAGAGATCCCCCAGGGTGTGTGAGGCTTATTCTATGCTGTGCCCCGAGTTGAGCTAAGAATCATCTTGTAGGTGAGAGAAAAACACTTGTGTGGGAGAATAGGGGGCTGCTGGTCCTTCCCCAAGTCCCGAGAGTAGCCGCACTGGCTGGGTTTCCGTGCTCACGAGCATGACTGCCCTGGTCCCCAGCCCCATCATTCACCGATTTACCGACATCCTCAACAGACCATCTCTTGTCAGGTGGAGCAGGCAGAGAGGGTAACGAATGTGTTCTCAGAATGGGGCAGGAGGTGGAGGGCAGGGACACACCTAGGGCTACCCAAGTGCTTTGTGGTGGCAAAGGTGATGAATGCGAGACTACGTAACAAGGCTGCATGGTTCTTTTCTTTCAATCGCTCTTCTTTTCTCTCTTCCCCTTCCTTCCTGTCTTTCTGCCTTTCCCTTTCCCTCTTTCCCTTTCTTCTTTCTTTCTTTCTTTCTTTCTTTCTTTCTTTCTTTCTTTCTTTCTTTCTTTCTTTCTTTCTTTCTTTCTTTCTTTCTTTCTTTCTTTCCTTCTTTCCCTCCCTCTCTCTCTTTCTGTCTTTCTCCTCTCTCCCTCTTTCTCCCTCCCTCCCTATTTCAAAAGGGGCCTCATTACATTGCCCAGGCTGGGGCCTGGGGATTTAGCTCAGTGGCAAAGTGCCTGCCTGGCAAGCGCAAGGTAGTGAGTTCGATTCCTGGTACCAGAAAAAAAAAAAAAAAAAACCTAAAAAAAAAACCAACCAACTACATTGCCTAGGCTGTTCGTGGACTCCAGGGCTCAAACAATCTTCCTGCTTCAGCCTCCACAGCCTCTGGGTCTATAGACATGGGCCACTGTGCCTGGTTCACCATGATTCCACTTCTACAGATTATGTTCCAGTGGGAGAACTGTTTCAACTTGGCCAGATCTGAGTTGTTTTTGGTTTTTTTTTTGAGACAGGGTCTCGCTATGGAATTCAGGCTGGCCTTGAACTCACAATGATCCTCCTGCCTCAGCTTCCCGAGTATTGGTATTACAGGCGTGCGCCACCATGCCTGGCAAATAATTATTTTTCCATTTTTATTTTTTTTGGTAGTGGGAAATGAACTCAGGACCTTGTGCTTGCCAGGCAGGTGCTTGTGCCGCTGAGTTACATCCCCAGCTCTCAGATCTGTGTTTTTAAAAAGAAGTAAAAAATTCAAGGCTTTTTCTATAAAACTAGTTTGGTGGTTTTTGTTTTTCAGTGCTGGGGATGGACCGCAGGGCCTCACATGACAGCCCCAGCCCCAGCCCCTAGTCTGGAGACAGCTGTAGGCGCAGCTGAGGGAGATGGCGAGGTAGTGGCTGGAGCCCCTCCCAGCACAGAGCCACACGGTGACACTGGCTTCTGCCTCCAGGGCCCTGCGCCACACTCAGAATCGCGCCCCCAGCTTGTGTTGACTCTCTGCTGTCACCATTTTGACGTTTTAAGTAACTTTTCAAGGGCATGTGGTTTCATTTTTCACTGGGCCCTGCAGCAGGACTGGCAATGAATGCCCCCAGGGCAGTGTAAGGAGCTTGCGCACGTGTGTGTGTGTGTGTGTGTGTGTGTGTGTGTTGGAGATGTATGTCCTATGTGAGTTTGAGCTTGTGAATGTGTATATTTACAAAACATGCAAATGTGTGGATGAGGGATTGGTGGGCCTTTTTTTTTTTTTTTTTTGATGGAAATTGAACCAAAGGCCTCAAAAATGCAAGGTAAGCTTTACCACTAAACCGCATTTTGCATTTTCTGCCCATCAGGATGTGTGTGTGTGTGTGTGAGAGCAAGAGAGAGCATGGGTTGGTGAAAGATGGCGTGAGTGTGCAAGGGTGTGTGCGAGCAGTGTGTGCACAGTGAGTCTGTGTGGCATGGGCATGCGAATGCGGGTGCACACGTGAGAGAGGAGAAGCAGGGGAGGCCGGGTGGGGAGTCACGGCGTTGACACGGCCTTCCCTCTCGGGTCTGTGCCATGGAGGCGCTGAGTTGAGTGAGCCCTGCACTTGCCCAGGGGCCTCTCGGCCAACCCAGTAAAAGCTGGAGATGTGTAAACAGATAACTGAAATAAAGGAGCAGACTGAAATAAGCCCCTCAGTAAATACTACACCTCTTCACCTACTTCACAGGAGGCTTCTGAAGCCAGATTTCCCCTGAATCGGTGGGAGGGGCAGAGCTGTGGGATTCTGGGAACTGTTGTCCAGGAGGCCAGGTCCGCCCAGCCCCCCTGGACCAACCCACCCCCTTGGGGCACACTCAAACACGGAGTGACCTCCCTCCCACCTGCACGGCCACACACCCAGTCCCACAGGAGCTGATAAGAGGCGACCTGCTGCTCAGGGCAGGATATAAAGAGCCCAGCCCCACCCCCACCCCACCCCGACACACCCAAGGGGCAGGCAGGTGAGAGATGGGGCCCTCCTCTGGGCCGGGGTCTGTTCCCAGGCCCCTGGGCTGCTGAGAACTGGGGTGAGGGGGTCTGGCTCCCTACAGAGAGGTCCCCAGAAGCCTCGCCTACAGGTCTGTGCTGGGTCTTCAGGTCATCCTAAGGGGCAGGGGCAAGAGGCAGAGAGCAAGAGTGAGGAGAGACATTTGGGTGAGAAAGGTGTTTTCTTTCCTCCAGGTTCTGTCTGGGGCTGGCCAAAGGAATGCTGGATTCTCGTTCCCATTCTTACCTGGCCAATGACCTGGACCAGCCTTTGGCCTCATCAGTAAACTGGGGACACCCAATCTCTTCAGAGGGCTCTGAGGCAGATCCAGGGAGATAATGGGATGAAGAAAGTGCCTCATAAGTTGGAAACGGCAGGACAAAGGTCAGCCCGGCACCCCAGCCCTCTTAAGGCCACCACCTGCCCCACACGCCCTCTAATTGAAACTGCCTGTTAGAGTCTTCTTGGAGCTGAAGAAACAGACCCGGGGAGGCTCAGCAAGGGTCCAGGGTTCCACAGGCCTATAGCTCTCTTGGCCAGGTGACCTTTGGCAGCACTGGGTCACCTCTCTGTGACATGCAGACCCTGGAGATAACATGCTGGAGCAGCTAGCACAGTATGGAGCACACACAGTCCCAGGAAATGAGGTCACCCTCAGGCTCTGGTTGCCAGAGCTGCTCCAGCTCAGTGGCTTGGTCAGCATGGGAACCAGCCTGGCTGAACCCCCACCCTCGGCTGCTGCCCAACATGGCTACCTTGCTTCTACTTCAGAAGGGAAATGTAAGGACAACTCTTTCCAAAATGGCTCCAGAAGATTCAAGATTCTTGCAGGATTCCACCACTGTCGCCAATAAATCTGCTTTATCGGTATCCCTTCAGTGAATAATCTGGTATTTCCAAGGCAATTGCACAGTATTTCAAATTTAACAAAATGGCTGAACATGCCTTATGGCATTTGAAGCTGCAAACACTTTCCACCACCTGAAAGCTACTCTTCCTAAGCAGCCCTCCAGACAGTCCCCCTAGTGAAATGTCCTCCGTAAAGCCAGACACACTATCACGGTGATTGGAAGAGTAACAGTTCTGGAATCTGCAGAGGAAGTTCCAAGTCAGTGACGTTAGAGGTGCTCCCAGGGATGGGCTAAAGGACAGAGCCCAGGTACATCTACCAAGCCTCACTCTGCATCTGTGAACCGGAGCTGGGATGTGGACCTCTCCCCTGGGAGGAAGAGGCAAGGTGGTGGAACACCGCGCTTGGCAAAAGACCGGCTGTCGACAATTATCAATTCCCTCCCTTGTTCCTTTTCATCAAGTACTCATCTCCATTTTGTTTTGTTTTGTTTTTTTTTTTTTTCTCCCCTTTACCAGATCAGAACTTTGATTTCATGTCAGACACAAAAGCCAGGACTCATATTACAGATATTCAGCTTGAAGCCAACTTGGCTGGAACGCAAAAGCATCTATTTATTCCACAAGGCTGGACATGCAATTCTAGACTTCTCAGAGCACGTCAGGTCCAAACCTCTGTCTTACAAGAGGAAGCAGCCCCAGAGGACAGACTCTGCCAAGGTCACGGTGCCCATGTGCCAGGGCACGACAGCCTGTTCTCAGCTTCCCGTGCGTGCATGTGAAGTCTTACAGCTCCCATCCTCAGCGCTGCTTTGCTTGTTCTTTGCCCCACTCCCAGCCCCCAGCCAAGGTGCCAGGAAATCCATCCCCAGCCCACCCTCCTGCCATGGAAAATCCAGACATTGGAGACGGAGGTTAGAAAAAGCCCAGAGGGCACTTTATTGGAGGACTCTGCCTCCATTTACAGGAGAAAGGAACCAGGACCCCAATCTGAGGGTTCTGGCAGGGTTCACCCTCCTTTTGCTGGCCCTGTCAGGGGTATAGAATAGTCTGGCCACCAGCATTTGGAGGGGAGGAGTAGGGAAGGGAATGCTTTAGAAAAAATAGATCTCTATGTACATCTGACGTATTTATAGCACATAAATTAGGGATGCTCTGATCCCCGCCTGTGGAGCCCAAGCACTGAGCAGGGTGGTGTGGAAGCCGATCCAAGAGGCGGTGCTGGAGGCCGTAGCCCCTGCCCTGTCCCAGAGGCTCCCCTTTGGCCTCCCCTGGCTTCCTTGGCCGAGTCCAGGCATGAGGAAGGCACAATCCACAGCCAGCGTTGGGATTGTAAAGAGCTGCACTGGCGCATGTCCTTCAGACCCTAGAGCTTGTATTCCAAGAGGCCAGGGAAGAGAGGCAGCGGCTCCAAGTCCAAGGCCCCGCTGCCCCCCAGCCTTCCAGCTTCTGCACCAGCAGAGGAAGCGGGTCCACGAGGCGGGGAGGGGGCATCCGGCCTGCCGGTCCTCCAGGAACCGCGGCCTGCAGTCCAGTCTGTGGCTTTGGTCCTGGTTTAGTTCAGACCTTTACTTTCGACTCTCCACAACCTCTTCTTCCTTCCAGCCACTGGAGTTTTTGCCGAACTTGTAGACAAGCCGCCGGCCGTCCACCCGCTCCAGGATCTCTCGTTTGTAGTAGTACCTGGGAGGGGACAAGGTGGTCAGGGGTGCCAGGAGAGAGATTTGCATTGCCGCCGCCTCCTGTGGGGCCCGGGAGTCCTCACGGAGCTGCCCCTCTGGTTTTGAGCCTGGCCCACACTCCCCTCACTCTCTTCTCACCTGTTACCACTATGCTGGCTTAGCATCGTGTTCAGGGTTCCTACTTCTCCTGAGCTTATTTCTTTCTTTTTTCCCCATACTGGGGATTGAACCCAGGCCCTTCACACTGAGCTACAACCCCAGCTTTTTTCTTTTTTTTTTTGTTTTTACATCGTCTTGCTAAGGTGCTAACTTACTCAGGCTAGGTTCAAACTTTCCATCTTCCTGCCTCAGCCTCCCAGAGTATTGGAATAATAGGTGTGCACAGCACCACACCCAGCTTGTACTTGTTCCACTGTATCATGTGGCTGTGCCCTGAGGCTTTTCATCAAAGCACAAGAATGCAGGACTGAAAGGGCCCCTATAGATGACCTGCTCTGCCCTTGTGGCCCTAAGATCCTTTCTTGGGATGAGCCTCGAAGACAATACACAGAGTGCTGCTGCTGGCTGAGTGTGCCATCCTCACCACATGCCCACCGGCCCAGTACTTTCTCCATGCCATCACTGGAGCCACTGAACAGGCCCAGGCTGCCCTCGTCCTCACCCTGTGGGACACGCACTGGTCACGTGTAGCTCAGTGGTGGCTGGAGAGGGCAGGGCAGCACAAACAACTGTCCTGGCCGGGTTGGCAGATGGCCGTCAGCTCACCCACCTCATGGCCCGGCTCAGCTTCTCATAGGTCATGTTGCTGTTCTTCTTCTTCTGGCCCCAAAGTTGGGCCACGGCCTCAGAGCGCAGGAACTTGAAGACACCCTCGTGCCGATTCTCCCACTTCATGAGGCCCTCGTTGAGCTCTGGGTGGATGAGGATGTCCCGGATAAACTCCCACAGGTGGGTGCCCCTGGGTGCTGCAAAGACCATTGCCCTGTTTAGCTGGTTCCCAGGGGGTCCCTCACCCAGCTAGCCGCGCCCATCCTGCACACTGAGCATTGTCCAAGTCCCCAGTGTGTCCAAGTGGCTGCCTCCCTCCTGGGCTCCCCTTAGACTGGCTGTGTCACGTGGCTCAGCGGCCTGGCTTTGTGATGTGGACGGTGAGAGCTAACACACGAACTGCTGGCGAGAGTGTGCCAAGCACAGGGTCGGATGACCAGCCCCAGCCTGCGGTCCGGGTCAGCTTCCTGAAAAAATAACCCCGAGGTCAAGAAGAGCACGGGCCCTGTGTGCACGTGTGTGGATACGAGAGACAGAGAGGCCAGAAAGCGCTGCAGGCGCCCTCCCAGGGGTGCACAGCAGCTGGAACACTGGACGCCCCACGCCCCGCGCAGCCCTCAGCAGGCTGAAGGTGGAGTCCCAGCCCCCGCCGACCCTTGGGGCCACCTGCGCAGCTTCCTTGCTCACTCCTAAGAGACACAGTGGCCCAATGCAGATAGAAATGGAGTGGGAAAGCTCCTGGGTGCTTGGGCATGGGCCTCCTCCATGAGCTTCAGCTTCCCTTCCTCTCTAGGACCTCTGCAATGAGGTCACCAGTGCCTAAGCCCTCCCCTTTGTGTGCGGTGCTACCAGACCAGGATGGGAGGGCGGCTGCTGCGGGGCCAGGAGCCCGCTTGGGATTAGGGCAGGGGCTCCTGGGGCCCCTGGGCTCACCGTGCTTGCTCTTCTTGCCCTCCAGGCACTCCCAGTACTCCTTGCTCAGTTTCCGGGGCCGGCCCCGTTTCCGTTTCCCATGCTTGGGCTCTCCCTTCTTATAGTCGGGAAACGCATCTGCAGAGGGGAGAGATGGGGGTGAGGGAGTGCCTCAGGGGGCAGGGAAGAGACGCTGAAATGGGTGAGCCCAGAAGCCATGGCCTCACCTTGAGGGAAGAGCTTGCTGTCAGTGGGGTCCAGGTCCACATCGCTTCCACCGGAGTCTGAGGAGTGGGAGCTCTGAGTACCGGTCCCTGGGGTTGGGGTGGGGTAGAGTGAGCACCGTGGCCTGGGCCAGGACCCAGGTGGTCAGCAGAGCTGCAGGAGGGGAGAGGTGCCCTGCCAGGCCCTCACCTGCGGTGGAGACCTCGGAGCAGCCGGGGGAGGGCGCTCCGACACCATAGCTGGCGGTGTAGTAGGGGCTGGCCTGGCAGCCGTCCTCCATCATCTCCGGCAGCTCCTGGGTGAAGGGGCTTCCCTGATCTGGAAAGAGGACGAGGCTCAGCGAGGACTCAGGGGGTGGGCAGGGACAGAGAAGCTACTGGGTGTGCGCGGGAGCTCTGCTGGCACTTCTCCGGGTGGGGAGGGAGCAGTCTGGGAGGGCAGCGGCAGGACTGCTCTGGGACGGGACAGGACAGCGAGGGGACTGAGGAAGAGAACATGTTCTCACCAAAGGAGCCTGGGTCTCCGAGAGCCTCCTGGAAGGCCACACCACTGTCCTTCTCCAGCAGCTCAATGATCCAGCTGAGTTCATCGGAAGAGCTGCAAGCTGATAAGGAGGGAGGAGTCACCCTCACCTCTCCCTCAGGGGCTCCCTCCGGCGGTGCCCTCCAGCCCAGGCTTGGGGTCCAGCCCAGGGCCAGTCCTCCCCTCTGGCCCCCAGGCCCCTCGGCTACCACTGGGCTTGGCCACCACTGCCCCAAGCCGGACTCACTGAGATCCCGCAGCTGGGCATGGAGCTGGTCCCCCAGAGGCCCGAAGACCAGCCGCAGCTCCTCGAGGGCACAGCTGCACAGGGTGGCCCCGTCCATGTCACACCGCGAGAAGTCAATGGAGCTGGCATCATACTTGTTCTTCTCCACTTGGTAGCTGATCCAGTCCAGAACCTGGGCTTTCGACCAGAGCTGTGGCTGCTCCCCCAACCAGCTGGCCTTCTCTGTGGGCCGGGCACAGCGACAAGGTGAGCCATGGCCACACGGGGACTCATAGCCACAATTCCAGTGTTCCTCTGAGATCTCTGAGTCCTCAACTCTCCCCTCAGACAGCACTTGCAGGACAAGGGGCAGATGACTCAACGCCCTGGTCCCAGTCCCTTGCTCAGCCGGCTACAATCCCCCCCATCCAACAGGCTCTTAGGCAAGTGTCTCCCTCGTTCCCAAAGGTTCCCATTTCACTTCACCCACCAGTACCCTCCAGCGACGTCTGGGAGTTGCCCAGGGACAGCACCAAGTCATCAGCCCCGAAGGTGGCAGCAGGGGGAACAGAGGCCAGGCTGGGGTCCTCTGAGTTGTACATAGCACTGAAGTAGTTGCTAAAAATGTTGCTAATCTCACAGGTTGCAGCCATGAGGCTACCTAGGGAGAGGGGACAAGGTTGGTGAGGGTGTCGGGGGTCCTTCCCATATAGTCCTGGCTACTCTGTTCTGTCCCAAAGGACAGGAAGATATGGGGGCCCTCTCCGCAAGAGGGGCGTCTAAACCAGGGCTGGTGGTATATGCTTGTAATCCCAGTCCTTGGGAGGCTGAAGCAGGACGGTTGCAAGCCTGAACTATTAGGCTAGCCCCTGACTCAAAAAGGAGAGGACTAGACCTCAGAGCAAAGTGGGGCCACTGTACCCTGTTCCTCCTCCTCACATTAGCTGGACCCTTAGCCACAGCGGGCCGGTCATGGCCACCGAGTTCCCCGGCTAGAGACAACCTCTCTGCTCCTGCCCCTCAGTCCCGCTGTGAGACTCCAGACCAGAACGAGTACCTTCAGAACTGCACTTCCACTAGACCCGTTTCCCAAGGCCAGGACAGGGGAACGCGACAGGTAGGAGTCCTACCTGTGTAGATGTGGCACGCAGACAGGGTGGCTTCGGAGGTCACAGGTGAGAGAGAAACCTAGCCAGCCGTAAGCTCCGCCAGGGAGCAGCGCAGAGTCTAGCCGCCGCGCGCCCCCACCCGCCCTAAATAGGCCGTGAGGAGCTCCTCCCCTCGCCAGGCCTTCGTGGCGGCGGTAACCTGAGCTGGTGGCTCATTGGACAGGGGGGATTTCCTGGCCTTCAGACTGGGCTCCTGGCCCCAGGTGATTTGCATATTAGGTGCCACTTGGCCCAGGTCCTAGCAGGCAGTGCTGGGAAATCAGGCCAGGCTGGTTTAATGATTGTCAGAGTCTGTCATCCTGCACCCTCTGAGGTTGGGCCCAGGGCACCGGGCTGGGCAGGGGGCGGGAACATCACTGGGTGGGCACCTGTGCTTTTGGCTGCCCTCTGACTCAGGTAGGGGCCAGGCCAGGATGCGCTGGGGAGGAAGAAAAGCGAGTTGGGGAAACGTGGAGCCCTGGCTGGCCAGGGTTGTCGGAAAGGCCGCTGCTCTGTCTGGAGATCTGGGGACAAAGAGCCTCATGGGAGGCAGGTGACTGAGCTGATGATCTGTCTCCAGCACCTGGAGATGGGGTATGGGCCGAGAGACTCTCCGGGCCAGTGGGTGTGGCCAGGCAGCTAGCCTAACCCTGGGCTCCCTGGTCCCTGGCCAGAGGGCCCCCTTGCTGGCATCCCATTGTTGCCAGGTAGCACCGTCTGCCTGGACCCCACCCAAGTGTCAGGTTGCTGCAGCCACTTCTGGGGAGATCCAGCCTCCCTTGAAAATTCTTCCCTGGGTGCCTGATGGAGCCCTTCTTGTCTAGGGGCTGCTGGAAGCACTGGAATCCACTTGAACACATTTCTCCCCTGCAGCTCAGTACCTGGCCAAATGGATCCCCCAGTTCGCCAGTACAAGCTGCTGCCCTCCAGTGGTCAGAAGCTAGTGGGTCATGGCATTGAAAGAAGGTAGTTTTCAGTACTGTACATTTTACAGTAGTTTACTATAGACCAAGTATTTTGTTTTGTTTTGTTCTGGTTTTGTTTTGAGACAGGGTTTCACTATATAGTGCAGACTGGCTTTGAACTCTATGTAACCCAGGCTGGCCTCAAATTCCAGGTGAACCTCCTGCTTCAGCCTCCAAGTCCTGGGATTATAGGTGTGTGCTGCTAAGCCCAGCAACCAAGCACTTTTAACATAAAAATCCTCACATACAGAAAACCTGGTGAGCAATGTACAGAAATCCTCATGTTATAGGTGAGGAAACTACAGCTTGGAGGGACTTGGTGTCCGGTCCTGGCTACCCTGAGTTAGATAAGAATGGGAAGTGCCCTTTTCCTCAGACCTTGTGCCTCTGGCTGAGCCCTGGCCTCCTCTCTGGGCAGCGTAAGTCCTGCCTACTGTATCTGCTTTCTTTATGCGCTGAGCCCCAAGTCTGTCCTATAGACCCCCCACCTCCCTTGCAGGAGTAACGGGGTAAAGATTCAAATGTAGTGTTGGGCAAGGTGTGTAGATTCTGCATGTCACTTTCTCCTGTAAGAATGAGGTTGTGCCAGGCCTGGTGGAGCACACCTGTAATCCCAGCACTTAGGAGCCTGAGACAGGAGGATCTCCATGAGTTCGAGGCCAACTTGGACTACATAGTGAGTTCAAGGAGGCCAGCCTGAACTAGATAGCAAGACCCTTTCTTGAAAAACAAAAAAAGAGGTTGTAGCTGGGCATGAATGGCCACTTTGAGGCCAGCCTGGGCAATTTAGCAAGGCTCTGTGTCAAAATAAAATAAAACCAGGTGCCAGGCATGGTAGCACATGCCTGCAATCCCAGGACCCAAGAGGCTGAAGCAGGAGGATGGCTGTCACTTTGAGGCCAGCCTGAGCTACACGGTGAGTTCAAGGCCAGCTTGAACTACACAGTAAGGGGCCAGGGAGATAGCTCAGCAGCACAGCACCTGCTTGGTAAGCACAAGGTCCCAAGTTTGATTCCCAGTACCAAAAAAAAGAACTATACAGTAAGATCCTGTCTCAAAATAAAAAAAAAAAAAAAAAGGAAGAAAAACAATAACAACAAAAAAATCCCAGAGATTCAGCTCAGTGCAAAGTGCCTGCCTGACAAGTGGAAGGTCCTGACTTTGACTCCTGGTCCAAAAAAAAAACAAAACAGTCAAAATAAACTAAAAAGCTGGGGGCTACAGTTCAGTGGTATAGTTTGTCTTGCATATATGAGATCCTGGGTTCAAATCCCAGTTCTGAAAAACAGAAGCAGTTTGGATTTAATAATTACGAAAGTCTCTTCTAGCTTATTTTTGCTTGGTGTTCAGCTCAGTATTGTGTTTTGTTTGTTTGCAGTGCTGGGGATCCAGGTTAGGGCGTGGCTCACACTGGCCAAGTGCTCTACCACTGAGCTACACCCCCAGCCCCAAGCTAGTTTTTTATGATTCTGAGAGGGAAGATTTGTGTCTCTCCCCTCCCACCGCCTCAGCCCTTCGTTAACATCTCAGTCCCCTGGTAGGTTCACAGGTCACTCAAACAAAAGGTGATTCCACCCTCAGGTCCCTTCTCTAACTGGAATGCCCCAACACTAGGAAGGTCCTCCTCTTCCTTGGCTGAGCCCCTGGGTGCCAGGGAGAGGGGCTGACCACACTCAGAGCCCCCTCTGCCAGGCCGAGGTGGCTGGAGGGCCAGGGCCCTGGGTCGGATTTTCCCCAGCTCTTCAGGGGCCCTCCCCAAGCCCGAGGCGGGCACACCCTCTGCCCAGTCACTCGCCCTGGAATGCGGGAGAACCGGCTCCGCCCAGGGCTGCTCACGTGCTCCCTGCCCCGCGGAGCACCTGGCCGGCTGGGTTGAGCCGCACCGAGCCAAGCGTGCTGTGTGCCGTGCGGAGCGGGGCCTCAGCTCTGCTGCCTTCACGGGGCTTCCTGCGGCAGTGCGGCCGAGGCAATCCTAGAGGTCGGCAAAGCCACGGAGGGCAAAGTGGGTGAGAGGGCTGCGGAGGGGCCTCCGGAGCCCGGGTTCCCTGCCAGTGTGGCGCAGCCTCCTCCTCGGGTGTGGGCCCCGGCACTAGAGGACAGACCACCCAGGAGGAGCACGTGCGCCAGGCGAAGCGGGCCACACAGATGCTGCAGGGGTCTCTACAGAACCGGGGAAGTGGCTAAAGCACCAGACTCCGAGGTGTGAGGGAGGGGATAGCCTTAATGTCCTTGAACAGTCCTTGCTGTGACAGCGTGAGGCAGCACAGCAGCCCTTAAGAGCTGGGGAAGCAGCTTGCCAAAATGCCTGTGCTCTGAGAAGCTCTTCTGTCCGCACCCCAGGCCCATCTCAGAGCCTCCGAGTGAGAAAACCCCGTCTTTCCACTCCACAGCTTTGTCTGGGACTAACAGCGAAGGGACTTACAACTTCTCCTTCCCCACCCCATGACCTGCATGGGCACCTGCCGGGAAGCCCACGGGCAGAGCTACAGTGGAGTGGTCTGGGGTCCCTGTACTTAAGAAAGTCAATTTAAATAGACTTCAATATTTCTGCGAACCCCCCCCCCCGCCCCCCCAGCTCACTCTTAAGCCTAAGGTGCTAACCACTTAGATCCTCATGTTGAAGCCTGGAAATCAGAACTTAAGAGCCAAGCTTTAGACAGACTCTACCAATCACATCATGAGTTATCCTGAGCTGGGCATGGTGGTGCACATTTGTAATCCTAGTTCTCTCAGTGGATGAGGCAGGAGGATCACAAGTTCTATTTCTTTTCCCTGGTACCAGGAATTGAACTCAGGACCTTGTGTTTGCCAGGCAAGCACTGTGCTGCTGAGCTACCTCCCTGGCCCAGATTGCAAGTTCTAACTCAGCCTGGGCAACTGAGTGACTTAGCAAAACCCTGTCTCAAATAGAGAAGGCTAGGCTATAGCTCACTGTGAAAGCCCTGGGATTGATCCCCACCATCAAACAAGAATAAGGAGAGGTGGGGAAGAGCCACTAAAACACCCTGTGTGCATGTGCAAGTAATGGAAGAACCAGAAAGCCCCTCATCCATAGCTTTTCCCCTGCAACAGCCATGACATGGCCAGATATTTTTTCATAGGCTTGTGTGGGGACCCTGTCTCCTTCAGCCTGACAGTTTGCTTTTCCCCTAGCACTGGGGACAAAAGTTGGGGTCTCTGCACTGAGCTATAGTCCAGCCTTTTTAAAATTTTGAGCTGGGTGTGGTGGTATATGCCTGTAATCCCACCACTCAGGAGGCTGAGGCAGGAGGACTGCTGTGAGTTCCAGGCCGGCCTGAACTACATAGCAAAATCCTGTCTCAAAAAATGAAAAAAGAAAAATAAAATAAAATTTTGAGATAGAGTCTCAACCAAGTTGCACAAGTTGGGCTCAAACTTGCATACTCCTACCTCAGCCTCCCAGAGTGCTAGGATTACAAGCATGTGCCACCAGGTACAAGCTCAGCCTGCTGGTTCCTTAAGGACAAGGGAACACTGTCACCCCAGGTTACCGCCTTCTTGTCTGAACTCTTGCACACAGAGATCCAGGAGCCCTGATAGAAAAATTTAACACTCAATCTGTAACTACAACTTACCTAGTTTTTGTTTAAAAACATTTATTAAGGAAAGAAACAAAAAAGAAAGAATGAAATAAAGAAAGAAAGACTCATCTTTGCTTCTCCCCAGAGACCTAAGTAGAAGGAGGGAGGAGACCCACTGCCCCTGACACCACCAGCAGCCTGTAGGGGCGGCGAGCTGCAGGAAGGACTTCTGGCCCAGAGGCCCCAGAGTCTCAGACAATGGAGCCCAGAGAGCCAGTCCTGCGGGGACAGACACTTCAGGGTGCGGACTGGAGTACCGGAAGCTGGGAACAACGACCCAAAACCCTGCAAAGTCTGATGAGGCAGAGGCTGTGTGCGTGAGCCCCTAGCTGCTCTTGGGCTCCAGGATCTGCTGGACGTAGTTGACAACGTTGCTGTGGAGCTGGGAGGCGGTGGAGGCAAAGGTCTCTTTGGCGAGGGTCTGGGCCGCCGAACTGCCAGCCATCATGGCGTGGTACAGTGGCAGGGTGTACTTCTGCTTCCCCTGTAAGAAACACACACACACACGCCTCAGCAGTGCGCTCGTGGGAGCGGGGGTGTCTAACAGTGGGCACGGTCAGGCATCGGCAGGGACTTGGGGATCAGAGCTGCCAAGAAACCTCCCAGACAGGTGCTCCGATTCTGGTATCTTCTCAGAGTACAAAGCCACATCTCCCCCAACCCCCCTTTTTTTTTTCCTGTCTTTTTGAGACAGGGTCTCGCTGTGCAGTTCAGGCTGGCCTTGAGCTCACTTTGTGGCCCAGGCTGGTCTCGAGCCTCCCGAGTGCTGGGATTATAGGCGTGCGTCACCACGCCTGGCTCAGAAAGGGATCTCAATGAGCACCCAAACCATGACAAGGTAGGGACGTCCAGATGAACAGGACAACACAGTAAGATGCCAAAAGGCTGCAGCACATAAAGCCCAGGGCCCAGGGACACATAAGGCCCAACCGCAGTCAGGCAAATGAAAATCCACAGGTCAAATTCACGTTAACAAAGCCAGGACCATCACAAGTTCCCAAACTCCAGGCCTGGCCAGGGGCTCCAAGGGCTTGGAACATCAAGGGACGCTCACTCCCCTGGAGAGGGGCGGGCTGAGCACTGCCTGTGTCCAGCCCACCACTCCGGAATGCAGAGCTCCGGAATCCGCCTACATCCACTCACTCACCTCGGTGTCCTGTTCCTGCCCAGCGGGGCTACTCCCACAGTGATGGGAGAGCCGGCCGGTGTCTGAGCTGCTCCCCTGCCTCAGAACTTCCCTGGGGGCAGGGACCTACATGATCTCGCCCTCCACTCCCCTTGCCTGTCCTCTGCCCTCGTGCGTTTTCCCCATGACTGGACCCCATATCGGCACTGCCCTCCTTCCCAGTTTTGAGTTAGCTCCGACTAGCGTCGGTCCCTCAGGCCTCACCAGCTGATTTGCAAAAAGCTCCCTGGGCCTGCAGCCTGCAGGCTTCCGCTTTTCCCCAGGACAATGCCTTCAGGAGCCACACTAATACCACGGTGATCAGTGAGGTGCTCCAGAGGTCACCGGGCCCCAGCTCCGTTCGGACCCACGAGGCTATGACGAGGCTCTGCCTGCAGGATGACTTCAAGCGCAGTGCACAGCCCGGCTAAGCGTGGGGACAGGCAGGGGAGTGGCCCACCTGGCTCTGCAGGAACGCCTTTACTTTCCAGAAATCCTCCTGGTGGTCATTCTTAAGGACAATCTGGCCCCACCGTAGCCGCAGCTCTGCATTCCGGGCGCTGGAGACGGCTGGGTACGCCTCTCCCAGTCTCTTCACATTCCCTGCAGAAGAGGAAAAATCAGGCTGTTCATGAGCAGGAAGAGGAGCCAAGACCCCAGTGGGGCCTTCCACAAGCCTGGGCAGAGACATGGAGGAGGTTCCCCACCTCTGCTCGTTCTGTGCTCCAGAAAGGTAGTGCTCTGGTGTCACGTTTACCAAATGTCTCTCAGTCTTACTACAGACTTTCCGCTCTTGTCATTCGGTTTTCCTTTCTGGAGTAAATCACACGTGTTCCCCTCAGATGTACTCTCCGCTTCCTTCATCTCTTTTTTTTGGGTGGTGCTGTGGACTGAACCCAGGGCCTTACACAAGCCAGGCCAGTGCTGTACCACTGAGCTACACCCTGTTTGTCTGTTTTTTTTTGGTACTGGGACTCGAACTCAGGACCTTGCACTTGCTAGACAGGTGCTTGTGCTGCTGGACTATATTCCCAGCCTATTTTTTTTTTTTTTTGAAACAGGGTTTCCCTGAGTTGCCCAGGCCAGCCTGGAACTGTGGATCTTCTGGTCTCAGCTCCCAAGTAGCTGGGATTACAGCTGTGCCCTGTCATGCCTGGCTTCCCACTTTTTCTAATACTTGCTTTTTAAAATATTCCCCACTTTTTCTCCTACCACGAAACCTGCCAAGTTCATCTGAGCTTTAACTGATTTTCACCCCTGGGTGAATATTATTTCTGACTGAGCAGCAACAAAGCATTAATGGTTAAGAGCTTCGGATGACTGGGTTCAAATCCCAGCCCAGCTATTAGGCTGGGTGACCTATTTGTGCCTGCAGTTCACTTTGTTACCTGGGGATTAAAACCGCAGTCCCGCCTATGCAGAGTGGTTCCGGGAATTAAACGACCTAATGGACGCACAGAGCTTGCGAGCATAGCTCGCAGCGCCGGAGGACTGAGGAGCGCCAGGGTTTGTTATTCTGATCCCTGTGGCACTCGAACATCTACGCCCTTGTGATGACACATTCTGTGCAAAGTGCCAGCCTGGTGTCGCCTCCAGGCAAGACTCACAGCTTTTCCTGAGCCTCCCTCTGGCTCCTGATACGAAGCTCTGCACACAGGAGCTTCACTTGTCTGTCTAAGCAACAACACACTTCGCTTACCAGTGGGGAGAGGGGATTTCTGGAGGATCTTATCCAGGAAGTAGATCAGCTGGTAGGTCTTCCAGGTAGAGATGTCTGCAGCTTCAATGGCCTGCACGTCCAGCTCCTTGGCCACCCACAGCTGGGCCAGCTCTTCAGCTGGCTTCATGAGCGAGTCCCCAGGGGAGAGGTCGGGGAGGTAGGGGGGCCAGCCAGGGGTATTCAGCCAGCGATCAAACTCAAAACCTGGCAGGTGGAAGACGCGGTCAGGGCTCTCTGGCTGGGTCAAGGCCAACTTGCCCAAGAAACCTCAAACTCCTTCCTCTCTCCGCCCCAAACCTACTTCAGCGCCAGTGTCACCTGCCCACACAGCTACTGCCCATGAGGTCCTGCTAGGTTGATACCTGGGACTGTCATAGGAAGACTGGCCTGTGCTCATTTCTCCTGTGAAAGTGTTTCTGCCTATAAATAAACACTGTGTCATCAGAGTCTGGCTGACAGAGGCTTTCTCAGCTGCAATCAAGTTCATGGTCTCAAGATCACCACAACAGTACCGTGCTTAGTTAAGCACCAGCGCCCCAGGATAGGCTGCCCAGATCCCGTCCCAGCTCTGCCATGAACCGGCTGGGAGGCCGGGGGCAGGGGACTGCCTCTCAGTGCCTCTGTTTCTCTGTAAAACGGGAACGACAGGCCCTGCCTTGATTGCCGGTTGTGAAGATTAAACGAGCAAATACACATTAAAAGTCTGCTTGGTGCATAGTAAGCACTCAGTGATTACTGTCAGCTACAGAGGGTCATGACCTTGAAACGCAGCCTCCCGCCAGGGCCTGACCAATCCCTGCTGCTGAGGAGCCGAGTCCACCAAACCCAGCGAGTGACTCAGGGCGCAGGGCACGGCACCGGGGTGTGCCTCGCCACAACAGGACATTCTCTCCTCTCTCTGAGGAAGCAGCACCTCCAGAGCTGACGCCACAGCCACATGAGGTCACACTGCTGCCCTTTCCCGCCCTGGGAGATTTAGCTTGGGCAGCGGCAACAACAGCAACTCTCTGGGCAGAGATAAGGGTCTGAGTATGTCCAGGTGTGGGGCCACGAGAGGAGGGCCAGGAGGCAAATGAGAGAAAATGAGGCAGAGCCGGATCAAGAGGAATCTGATTCTAAGCATCATTCTGGCATCATCACCCTGGGAGCGCCGGGTTGGTTGTACCCTGAGACCTAATCTTTGTGGCCAGAGCCTGGGGGCCTAGGCTTGCTCCTCCCAAGGCCCTTAATGGAGAACTCTGAACCACACCTTCCAACCTGCTTTGGTCTTTCTTGGTGTAGGTAGCTCCAGCTCTCTAGGATCTCCAAAAAGCCCGTCGACTACTCGTTGCTTACCTGGAATGGAATCCACTTTCCTTTCCTTCAGCTCAGGGAAATAGTCCAAGTAGAATTCCAGAAAGTCATCAGCTAAGATACTTTGGAATTTAAACTCATCCACATAGGCCTGTGGGAAGGGAGGGATTCTTCAGCCGCTCTGGGTGCCCCTGGGGCAGGCGGGCTCCGACCCCTTACCTCTCGTGCCCCCTGCCTCTACCCTGGCACTCTGGCCCAGCTGCTTTATCTGCTCCTTGTCCTTCTTCTCACACGGAAAGGTGACTGTACCTTGAGAAACTTGTCAAACTGGTCTTGGTTACCCACCAAGTGGGCCAGGTAGGAGACAAAGCAGAACCCTTTCTCGTAGGGGGTCTCGTTGTAGGTATCATCTGGGTCAACACCTGGCAGAAGAGAAGGCAGACAGAACTGAGCGTGACTGGGACCCGGACCACCCTCCTGGTTCTCCCGCGGCTCCAGATTCAAATACTAACTCCAGCCCAGGTCAGACTCTAGGGGCAGCAAGGCCAAGGTTTCTAGATCCATCCCGACCTCTTCAAAGCAGTACTAAGGAAATCGCAGAGGCCAGGGACTGTAGGCCTAAGAGGATGACGGATCCGGCCGCCTAGAGAAACAGACTCCTTCCTCACTCTCGGGACAGGCTTGCTTGGATACAGACATCATCTCTCCAGGGTGGGAGTGGGGAAGGAACTCAGGGCTTTGTGCATGCTGGGCAAGTGCTCTAACACTGAGCTACATCTCCAGCCCTACTTTATTTTGGAGACAGGGTCTCCCTAAGTTGCCCAGGCTGGGCCTGAACTCCCCTGGTCTCAGCCTCTTAAGTAGCTGGGATTATGGGCATGTGACACCACATCTGTCTCCTTCACCCCAAGACTGAGCCATGGGCTCAATCTTTCCAGCCCCGTCGGTCACTGCCTACTTACCCAGCCTCCCCTTCCAGAACATGTTATTTTCACAAGTGTTCTCGATGAGAACTAATTACTGGTCAGTGTACAAGAAGTTCACTTTTACAGTCAGTGGCACCAAGGGACATGAGCTTCCACTGTACAAAAAGCCTGCACATTAGTCACACATGGAATTAACAAAAAAATGTTAAGTTCTCTTTCTCTCTTTTTTTGAGACAGGGTCTTGCTATGCAGCTCAGGCTGGCCTAGAACTCATTATGTAGCACAGGCTGGCCTCGAACTCATGGAGATCTTCCTGACTCGGCTTCCCAAGTGCTAGGATTACAGGCGTGTACCACCACGCCTGGTAAGAGAAAAATGCTGGAAAAGCGAAAAGCTCTGAATTTGAAACTGACTAGGTACATGACCTAGGACGAGTCCCTGAAGTCACCTAGCACTCAGTCCCACCCCGTAAAATCAGGCTGACACCCAGCAGAACCCACTGACTTGATAAAAAGGGATGGGAAAGCACCTTGTAAGGTGATAGGGACTTATACAAACACAAAGCCACGGGCAAGTCCTTAAGAAGTGTGTATGACTAACCAGAGCTCCTGCCTGGCTGCCCCGCTTGGGCTCAGGCAGCCTGAAGGCAGGGAACAGCTACCAAGAGCCCTGGCAGGCTCCTCCCACCGTCACCTCCTGCTCGGGCTAACCTGGGGCTCCAAGGGTCACCTAGTGAGGCAGAGGACAGAGAAACCGCTCACCCGGCTCGATCTTCACTCGGAGCTTGTTGAGTGGGTGGTCCTCGCCGGTGATGTCCATGTGCTGCCGCAGCAGGGACCTCCCGGTGGCAGCCTCCAAACAGGTATAAGAAGCCCCTGAGCCAAAAACACATCACGCATGCCCAGTATCAGCTACCTACCTGAAAGCGTAGTCTCCCGACGGAAGAGGCTGTGCTGCCCCCTTGTGGCCTGACACTCCACAGCACTACTGTCCTGGGGCAGCGGCCTCAGACTCAGCTCCCTATTGCTCTAGACTTAGTTCACACAGGCTGGGGGTCACTCCCGGGAGACCTGCTAACCTCTCGACAGTCACCTTCATTAATGTATTTTTACTTTCAGATAAATTTGATCTATAAAATCTTAACTAGGTTTTGTTGTTGTTGTCTTTTTGAGACAGGGTCTCACTGTGCAGTTCAGGCTGGCCTTGAGCTCACTTTGTAGCCCAAGCTGGCCTGGAACTCACAGGGATCCTCCTGCCTCAGCCTTCCCAGTGCTGGGATTACAGGCGTGCGCCACCGTGCCTGGCCTTTATCTGGTTTTTATTTGACTGTTCTTGTCAAACAAGAGAAACTGTCACTTTCAGAAATTTTGGGTTTTTTCCACATGTAACTTTCAGAAATTTTAAAGGTCCTCAAGTCTTTAAAAAGAACTGAGGATGTGTGAACCAGTCAGCTCTAACTCTGGTTTCTGTGACTCCACAACGGGAGCAACATGTGCTTTGACACTTGGCGGCTGGCTAAGACAGGCACCAGCTGAGTATGCTCTACACACTCTGACTAGGAGGATACCTGTGTACAAACTGTCTGGGACATAAGAGACAGGAAGAACTAAACAGTCTTTAAAACGCTGAGACCCAGAAATTATGTTTCTAAGAATTTATCCTCATTGAGATCATCTGAGAGTCACAGAATGGCTATGTAGAGATGTTTGTCAAAATACTTCAGTGCAAATTGGGAACAACCTATCTAACAATTGGAGAGAGATTAAATAAATCACCAAGTATACTACGCACCCAGAGAAGATTTGGGGGGGCAGTGCTGGGGATCACACCTAGGACCTTGTGATGCTAATGGAGCACTCACTACTGAGCTGTGGGCCCAAGCCCTGGAAGGAAACTTAATGACTTAAGAAAAAGTTTTAAGCCAGGCGTGGTGGGTAGACTGTGGTCCCAGCACTCAGGAGGCTGAGGCAGGGGATTGCTGTGAGTTCAAGGACAGCATGAACTACATAGTAAGACCCTGTCTCAAAAAAAAAAGTGTTTTAATAGTCTTTTAAACTTTCAGTTGAATGAACAGATAAAGAAACTGTGGGGCCGGGGATATAGCTCAGTGGCCCAAGTGCCCGCCTGGAAAGCGTGAGGTTGTGAGTTCAATTCCTGGTACCGGAAGAAAAACAAAAACAAAATCTCATTTCTAAAAAAAAAAAAAAAGAAACTGTGGTCTGTGTAAATGTGGTTCTCTTAGTCATAAAAGATACATTTGAGTCAGTTGTAGGAAAATGTTGCACCTTGACACTATAATGCTCGGTGAAGTAAATCAAAGCCAGGAGCTTAAGTATCAAAAGGTTTCTCTGAGAAACCAGAAGTATAAATAAAGAGTGAAATAAAACATAAGAAACAGGGAGACAGATTTCACCAAATAGGAAGGGAGTCAAACGTGGAGAAGGGAGGGGGAGTAAACAAGACCACGTCGCGGGTATGCGTACCCACTCCCCAGAACAAGCGTTTCATCCTGTAAAACCAACAGGGGTTAGTACAAGACAAGAAAGAAGCTTTACATCAAGTAGATCTCAATCAGGTAAAATAATAAAGGTATTAAATGTGTTGTTATTTACTTATTTAATTTTTTGTCTTTTTGAGATAGGGTCTCGCTATAGTTCAGGCTGGCCTTGAGCTCACTTTGTAGCGCAGGCTGGTCTCAAACTTGCAACGATCTTCCTGCCTCAGCCTCTCATGCTGGGATTACAGGTGTGCATCACCATGCCTGACCTTAAATGTTATATTTTTTTAAACATCTGATATACAGTGAGTTCTCATTAATGAGGCAGTAAAGTTTTTTCATTTTTTGTTTTTTTTTGTTTTTTTTTTTTTGACACAGGATCTTGCTACATAGTTCAGGCTAGTCTTGAATTCACTATGTAGCCCAGCCTAGCCTTGAACTCAGTGGGGACACTCCTGGCTCAGCCTGCCTAGTGCTGGCATTACAGACATGCGCCATTACGCTTGGCAGCAAACAGCTTTCTGTTTTTTTAAAAACACACTGGGAGCCAGATATGCGGCCTTGGGAAGCTGAGGCAGGAAGATCATAAGTTTAAGGGCAGCATAGGGAATTTAGGGAGCTGTGTCAAATTAAATTTTTTCTTTTTTTAAAGATAGGATCTCACTATGTAGTTCAGGCTGGCCTTGAACTCTTGGTGGTTCTCCTGCCTCAGCCTCCTGAGTGCTGGGATTACAGGTGTGCCTCATCATACCTGGCTCAAATCAAATTTTAAAGAAAAGACTGGGGCTATAGCTCAGTAGTGAAATGCTTGCTTGGCTGCATGAGTTCCTAGGTCAGTCCCTGGTACCAAGAATGAATGAATGAGTGAATGAATGAATGAAAAAACTTTAAAGCACACTCAGGCTCCGTATGAGGCTCTGCCATCTTCTGCTAAGTGAGTTGGGCACACAAACACTTCCTTACTCTCTAGTCATAATGTACTCACAAAGAAAATGTACTTAAGTGGTTCTGTCTCATGGAGCTACGGCAGAAGTGTTAAATGAGGTGCTTTTTGTAAGGTGCCCGCAACAAGGCTGACATAGAGGCAGCCAACAGAATTTAGGATGATCATCTTTTGTTTTCTTGGGTTTTTTGTTTGTTTGTTTGAGACAGGGACTCATTTTATAGTGTAGACTGGTCTTGAACGCACAGTGATCCTCCTGCCTCAGCCTCCTGAGTGCTGGGATCACAGGTATGTGCCATCACACATGCCTGGCTGGTTAATCTATGAGTAAGTCATAAGATTGTCACCATCCTAGGCTTCTGTGTGGTGGCACATGCCTGTGATCCCAGCACGCGGGAGGCTTAGGCAGAAGGACTGTTGTGAGTTCCAGGCCAGCCTGGTAATGAGTTCAAGGCCTGCCTGAATTACAGAGAAAGACCTTGTCTCAAACCAACCAAATAGATGAATGAATGAACAAACAGACATATGGGTGAACAGCCCGGAGGCCCGTCTGGCTCGGGGAGAGGCGAGCAGGTGAGGCACTGCCCCTGCGAGCTTGCCTGTGAGCCCATTCAGCGACACAAGCGGTGCTCCTGTGACCCTGCTGGCAGGCAGCAGAGCCGGAACTGCCGGCCTGAGAACAGCGCTGGTCTAGCCGCGCCCTTCTACGGCCTCCCCCTGAGCTCTGCACTGCTGCCCCCACCAACCTGTGTCCTGAGCCCCAGAGGGGACAACCCCGCCGCGGATACAGAGGAGGCCGCGGCCCGAGCGGAGCTTTACCGAAGAGCGCGGTGGAAATCCTCCGCTGGGCGTACATGGTGAAGCCCTCATTGAGCCAGAACTCGCCCCAGTTAGCATTGGTGACCAGGTTCCCAAACCAGCTGTGGGAGATCTCATGGATGATGACGTCTGCCAAGGACCGGTCCCCAGCGAGCAGGCAGGGGGTGACAAAGGTCAGGCAAGGGTTCTCCATTCCTCCGAACGGGAAGGAAGGCGGCATGAAGAGCAAGTCATACCTGCCGAGAAATCAGGAGTCACGGAGAGGCGCCGGCTCCCCTCGTTGACTGCCAGGTCCTGAGATCCGCCCCCCACAGGAGGAGGCGGTGACCCCGCCCCCTGTTCTCCTCCGCTTCCGCTCCCCGCCCCCCAGCCAAGGGGCCGCTCCTCCCCAGCAGGGGCACCGTCATCCCCTTCACTCACTGGAGGGCTAAAGACCAGCGCGCCTGAAGATGCCACAGGACAAAACAACATGGGGCGAGCCCCTGCTGGGAGGAGAGGCCCGAGTGTTTCCCCGACTCCGACTCCGAATCCACCTTAGCAACTCATTTTTATCTCTCTGCCAGGGTCCCCTCCCCTCCTCCTCCTCCTCTTCCTCCTCTCCTTGTTTCCGGGGTCGGGGAAACCTTGCTGTAGGAGACAGGCGGAATAGCAGCCCCAGCAGGGAGAGTGGGAAGCAGGGTCCTGATTTAATAAAACACACCAGCTGCCGGGCCTGGTGGCGCAGGACTGTGATCCCAGCACTCGGGAGGCTGAGGCAGGAGTATTGCGGGGAGTGTGAGGCCAGCCTGGGCTACATGGGGAGTTCAAGCCCAGCCACCCCGTCTCAAAAACAAAACAGGGGCCGGAGACATAGCTCAGCGGCGCAGTGTCTGCCTGGCAAGCCCGTTCAATTCCTGGTAACAAACAAAATAAAATAAAACATCTGTGAATGTGATCCCATACCTGCCCCAAACGTAAGGTCCGAAAAGCTTCTCTCCTGTCGCCAAGAATTCTTCTATCACCCCGCTGTACTCCTCCTCGGCGGCCTCAATCACGCAGGGCTCTGCCCACACCCGGCTCCTAAGGGCAAAGGCACAGGGGAGGCAGCGGGACACGTGGGCAGCACCACAGTGACTCCAGCCAGAAAGTGCTGGTAGAAAACTGGCCTCGACCCCATCCTGATGTGGTCAGCACGGAGGCAGGAGGTGCGGGATAAGATCACCCACAGGATAGCAGGGACCCTCACTGCACCAGGGAGACCGGAAAACCGCAGAGCCTCATCCGGGCACCAGGATCTGAGCCCGGCAGTGCACTCCGCCCATGGCTGGGCGCTGAGTGGCAGCTCCGACTTCGGCTCTCCTGGCCTGTCCCCAGCGGTCACTGAGGGTGGAGGTTAAACAAGACTGCGTCCGCAAGGGCTCTACACAGTAACACACAGAAAAAGCTCCTCTCCTTCCTGGTTATGGACAGATGAAGGACGCTAAAGACAGAATCGCTGGAACCGAAAGGAACCTTAAGAGGCAAATCTAACAATCCAGGTTAATGGCAAATTGCTAATTGTTTTTGATACAAGCATGGCATTATATAATAAGGGGAGAATGCTTCACTCCTCAGGGGGGCACTCTGGCTTACTTTTAAATGATCTAAAATAAAAACAAAGCCCCATTTCAATAAAGCTAGTGGGACAAAATGGATGGGTAGGGCTGGGGATATAGCTCAGCAACACAAGTGCCTGCCTGGCAAGTGCAAGGTCCTGGGTTCCATTCCCAGTACCAAAAAAAAAAAAAAAAAAAAAAAAAAGAAAGGGGGGTACAGAGATTTTCTTTTTTTTTTTTTTTTTTTGTCTTTTTGAGACAGGGTCTCGCTATGCAGTTCAGTCTGGCCTTGAGCTCACTTTGTAGCCCACGCTGGTCTCAAACTTGTAATGATCCTCCTGCTTCAGCCTCCCGAGTGCTGGGATTACAGGCATGTGCCATTACACCCGGCCGGAGATGTTCAATACATCATCCTTTTAATTGTTCATACATTTGAAACTTTTATAATTATCCTGGGCATGGTGGTACATGCCTGTAATCCCAGCACTCGGGAGGCTGAGGCAAGAGGACTGTCACCAATTTGAAGCCCTCCTGGCTTACACAGTGAGACCCTGTTTCAAAAAAAAGAAAGAAAGAAAGAAAGAAAGAAAGAAAGAAAGAAAGAAAGAAAGAAAAATTTTGAAATTTTCATAATTGTAAGATAGAGGGCTGGGCATCGTAGCACACATCTGTAATCCCAGCACTCAGGAGGCTGGGGAAGGCGGATTCTTGTGAGTTCAAGGCCAGCCTGGGATACAAAGTGAGCTCAACGCCAGCTTGAACTGCATAGTGAGACCCCATCTCAAAAAGACCAAAACAAACAAACAAACAAAAAGTAAGATAGGGAAACAAAAGGTAAAGGGGAAAAACAACAAAAACACCCAAGAAGATCCAGTTCAACAGAAAACCAAGCCTGTGAGGGCCATGACGGGCCCAAGACCATTTATGACTCCAAGAAAGAGAAAACCTCAGAATTCAGGGATCCCGAAACCAAAGCCAGGGCCCTGACCTTGCACAAGCCGTCGGACCAGAGCCTCCGTTTGCTCATGGATGCGATAGTACTACCCTCGCTGAGTCAGGAGAAGGACTAGGGGAGGTCGTATAGAAAACGGCCTAGTGGGCTGCCCCTCCTCTCCCACGCAACAGGGCCTGGGCCCAGGTCACACTCCTCCAGACGACCTTCTTGCCTAACACGCCCCATAGATCCTAATAGCAGCCCTTGCAGCCATGACCGTCCATGTGACAGGGGAGAAAGCCACCTTCATCAGTTAAACGGGTTCTGTCCTCTAGTTCAGGTTACCATGTTGTCATTCTTATTGAGGCTTCAGAAAAGTTATTATCTGGCATGTTTGGAACCTGCTCCTCTCCGTTACCCAGTAACCATTTATGCTCTTACTACTGGAGGCTAAGTAAGGGTAAACACCAGCCTGGTGTGGTCCAGGCTGGCCTTGAACTCTCTTGCTTATGTAGCCCAAGCTAGCCTCAAACTCATGATTATCCTCCTGCCTCAGCTTCCCAAGTGGTGCGATTACAGGTGTGAGCCACTATGGTAGCTACACCTTGTTTTTCATGGCTGGCATTGTAGAGTCCTTTTTTTAAAGAAAACAAACAACAACTCCTATGCGCTACAAGCAGGTCATGCCAGTGGAATTCCATTTATCATGCCATCTGATATCTGGAAACCACGGTTCTCGGTACCAGCAGTGCTACTGAGCACAGTGACTGAGTCTCAGGCTTGTGATAACCCATGACAGGGCTGAGCAGGACCAAAACAGACCCAAAAAAAGGGTCTCAGCTCTGCAGTCCAACCTTTGGCCACTTCGCAACAGGACTAAACCACGGTGGCAGATAATGTGACAGCCAGGAAAATCCTGTCCCTGTCAAAGTTCTCATCTCAGGAAACCGTACGAAATCTCTTTTTCTCCATGAAATCCATGTAATAGTTTCAGAGAGGAGACCTCTCCTTGTAAGTTTAGATTCCTCCATCTGGAACAGAAGAAAGAAGAGTCCCCTCCTCTTTAGAGGGCAAAGCTGTGTATTTCCAGGAATTAAGTGCTAGAAAAAATGACATTTGGTACAAAGATTTTAAAAAAGTGAATATAGCTGCTTAAAAGGGCATTTAGAACTCAAAGACACTGATCAAGCTCAGTCTCCTAAAACTGGCAACAAAGCCCCAGTATAGTTTGACAAGGTGGCCCAGGGGAGCGGCCTCTGCCAGCAGGGCTGGTAAGCTCACTCCCAGCAGCAGAATTTGAACCCGTCTCCCTCCTCCTTTTCCTCCTCCATTCCTTTGCCTCTGGGCTCTTTTGTCTCCTACCTGGGTCCAACTTCTGCTGAAACAAGATCTCCAACGGCCAAGGCTATCAGGTAGGAGGGGACCGGCTGGCACATCTGGAAGAAGAACTTGTTTGGTCCTCTCTGCTCCCAGGTGCTTGCACTCATCACAGCTGTGAAGCCATCCGGGACCTGGCAATAAAGAAAGCTTAGGTCTCCATGAGAGGCCCCCTTGGATCAGCCCGAGGGGTGGCACAGCCAGCAGCCCGCTCAGAAATGGTCATGACCCAGAGTCCGTCTTGCAGAACACAAAGGCTTTGAGAAACTAAACCTGTACTAGTCGGGCATGGTGGCGCACATTGTAATCCCAGCACTAGGGAGGCTGAGGCAGGAGGATCATAGTGAGTTTGAGGCCAGCCTGGGTTACATAGTAAGTTCAAGGCCAACTTGAACGACATAGTGACACCTGTCTTTGAAAAGAAAAAGAAAAAAAGAAACTAAACCTGTACCAAACAGATAGGATTTGGAAGGTTATGTACAATTTCCAGAAGTGGAAGAATTTAAAAGAAAATCTTTTAGAGGTATCACTGGAAGGACATAACATCAACTGAAATGAGACCTGATAGATGAGAAACTACATAATTATATATATCATATATAACAGGATATACATGATGTATATGCAGTTGTTTTTTCTTTTTAATTTTTTGTTTTTTTTCTGGTACCGGGAATCAAACTCCTGACCTTGCACTTGCCAGGCAGGTACTGTGCCACTGAGCTAAATCCCCAGCCCCCAGCTGTTTTGTTTTGATGGGGATCTCACTATGTTGTACAAGCAGAGCTCAAGCGATGCCCCTGCCTCAGCCTCCCCAGGGGCTAGGATTATAGGTGCACATGTTGCTGTCCCTACAAGGAATTATATTCCCATCTCATGGGCCAACACACCTATCCTTGGCCTCCTCACCTCCACAAGCGCAGAGTATCTGTATTTCACTGCCGGAGTGTCAAAGCAAGGGAAGAAGGCCCGGTTCAGGACAGCCTGACCCTGGGTGTAGACGAAGGGTTTCTCCTTCCCCGCTGTCTGCTCAGGAGACAACCAACAAACCTGCAGGAACAGAAGAGCACTCAGAACCGCCATCCGCTCAAGCTCAGGCCAGAGGGGAAGGGAGCCGGCCAACATGGGAAATTTTCAGGTGATTCTCCTTTTGTCTTTTTGACACAGGGTCTCACTGTGTAGTCCAGGCTGGCCTCAAACTCACAGCAATCCTCCTGCCTCAGCTTCCCGAGTGCTGGAATTCCAGGTGTGCACCACCAGGCCCAATGCTCAGATTCTTAAAATCTTTCTGCCAGCTGCTCTGGCTCACGCTGGAAAGTTATCTTCCACTGTGTATTTATCCACTGCCCTGGAATCCACGCCATATGATGTCTCTCTCCTGGGGCACGCTGCCACAAAAGGTTCCCCCCTCAATGTGTCCCCAGGGTCATCTCAGGACTCCCACAACTGGCCCCTGACACTGTCGTTTTGCCCACCTGTGTCCTTCCCACCCTAGGAGTTTCTCGCCAAACATAAACTGAAGCTACTACGATAAGACAGAAGCAGAAGAAACGTGTTCTCCCTCCCTAAGGTTTACTTTCTCAGAATAAATACATTTTATATGATAGGCAGGGTTAGGTCATGCTTGTTCTTTTTTTTGGTCTTTTTGAGGCAAGGTCTCACTATGCAGTTCAGGCTGCCCTTGACTCACTTTGTAGCTCAGGCTGGTCTCAAACTGGTGACAATCCTCCTGCCTCAGCCTCCCAAGTGCTGGGATTACAGGCATGCGCCACCATACCTGGAGATCATGCTTGTTTTGAAAAGGGGGTCCTCACTGTCAGCAAGGCTGGCCTCACACTGGGGCACTCGGGCCCCCCTCCCACCTCAGCCTCCCCACCCATGTGCAGGTGTGCACCACGCCCCCCACAGCCTCCATGACCCTCAATTTCTTTTCCGTTCACCCTTAAACTAAGGGAAAATTTGAAGGATTAGAGAAAAGTTAGTTTCACCCACAGAAAACGGGATGGCTCACAACATTGAGAGGTGGGTGGTCAGCACCAAATGCCATTTAGAATTTAGAAACAGACTAGATGACTTCAGGAGGTTTCACAGGTGAAGCAAAAAAGTCTGTCTGGTTGGGTCTTCCAAGATGAGCAGTGTCAGATAATCAAAAAGGAAGGGAAAAGCTATTCTTCCTCTTTTTTGGTTTTTTGAGAGAGGCTGGCCTTAAATTCACTATGTAGCTCAGGCTGGCTCGAATTTGCAGCAATCCTCCTGCCTCAGCCTCCCTAGTGCTGAGATTATGGGCATTAAACACTGGGCAAAGCCATTCTTAAAGACAGGAGCAGCCACCTGAATGAAGGCCTAAGGAGATACAGCCCCCAGAGGCAGGTTCTGGATACAGAGTGGTGGGGGCAGGCCTGGGCAGGTATAATGAAGGGCTTTGAATACAGAGACATCTGGGACTTTTATTTATTTATTTATTTTTTCCGGTACTGGGAATCGAACTCACAACGTCGCGCTTGCCAGGCAGGTGCTGTGCCGCTGCGCTAAATCCCCAGCCCCCTGGGACTTTTTTTTAGAACAGGAAAATTTACTGGAGAAAAGGAATGGGGAATAGGAGTAGGGGAATGGAGAATAGGAATAGCTCCTGAGAGACAGGAAAGATCCCAAATGGGTTGGCCCTGAGACCTATTTTTAAGTATAAGGAAGCTACACTGAGCTGTTGAGTCTTTTTTTTTTTTTTTTTTGAGACAGGGTCTCGCTATGCAGTTCAGGTTGGCCTTGCACTATGTAGCCCAGGCTGGCCTCAAACTTGAGTGATCCTCCTGCCTCAGCCTTCCCAGTGCTGGGATTACAGGTATGCACCACCACACGCAGCAGCTGGGTCATTCTTTGCTTGAATTTTTGTGAATGTGAAATATTAATCAGTCTCCTCCAACAAAGACAGTATAGTGTTAGTGTGATAGTAAATTCACAGTAGAGAAAACTGCCAAACACTACTTCAGACCAGTGACTAAGGTCAATACCAACAGTCAGAAATGCTGACAGCCAGGTGTGGTAATGCACACTTATAATCCCAGCACTTGGGAGGCTGAGACAGGTGGACCGCTATGAGTGTGAGGCCCGTCTTGCCTACACAGTGAGTTCAAGGCCAGTTTGAACAGCATAGTGAGACCCTGTCTCAAAACAAAACAAAACAAAAACCGAGCATCAATCCCTCCACCAAAATTCCTTATCACCTTCCTTGCTGGAGTTGTCGCTGTTTTTGCTTTTAATGATGGGCAGACAATGGGACAGGCACCTGACAGTACATGCACTACAGAGAAAGCCTGAACTTGGGGACAGACTCAGTAGTGACTAAGAACCCTCATCAGAGAGGCAGCAGTGACAGTAGAAGGAGCACACGAAGTACCCAGTGAGACCCGGCCCTTGCCAGGGAAGCTCCTTCCAGAGCACAGATCCCTGCCCCCGCATCACACACAAGAGCTGCTCAATGGTCCAGTCTGATTTGAGGTGCCACTTTCAGCAGGCAAACTTAGGAAGCGTTTAATTTTTCTATTCACCCTGTTTAATTTCCAGTTCCTGTCAAAAAAGTAGGCACCAATAACAGAGCAACCAAGACATTTACAGATGTTTCCTACTGGCCTCAGGCTTCTCTGCATCACATGCTTTAGACTTTGATTTTTTTCAAACAAGTTCTGTTTTCACTTTTCTAACAAGTTCCATCACAAGATTCGTTTATTCCTCCCATGGATAAAGGTAGAAAAGAGAACTGCTCTTTGGATCGGTTATTTTTAAAATGTTTCTGGTTTTGCCAGGTGTGGTGGTGCACACCTCCATTCCCAACGCTCAGGAGTATCGCCGTCAGTTCAAGGGCACCCTGGACCACCTAAGCGAGTTCAAGTCCGGCCTGCACCTCAAAGCTAGACTCCATCTCAGAAGAAAAAAAAAAAATTTAAGATTTAACATCCCAGTATGGGTGCGCATGTCTAATTCCACCACTGGGGAGGCTGAAACAGGAGGGTCATCGTGAGTTGGATGTCAGTCTGGGCCACATAGTCAGGTTGAGGATAGCCAGAACTAGATAGGGAGACCCTGTCTCAAAAAAGCCAAAAAACCAAACCAAAACAAATGTTTCAGGAGTCAGCCAACAGTGAGGAGGCCAAGGTGTTATAAAGCCTCCGCGGGCACTCTAATTCTAGTTCTCCACTCTTACTTAAGTTCTTTAAATCAAATCCAGGATTTCCCAACAGGAAACAAAAGTAACGATCTGGGCCTCAGGGTTGTTTTAGCCTGGTGAACTGGAAGAGCGCACAGAATAAAGGACCAAGTCAGCACCCAGATAGTCAGCCAGCACTATTCCGGGCTCATAAAGCAGGACAAAGCGGCTGCTCATCAGGGCCCTGCGCCCCAAAGTCCCGAAGCAGCCTTAAGTTGAGGATGGGACAGTTCCTCGTTTAAAAAAGCAGCGCGGGACCGGGACCGGGCCGTGGGGTGCAGACCAGAAAGGGGGGCGGGGAGGATGCCCCGGCCGATCAGAGTCCGGAAAGGCCCCCGGCCTGAGCTCGCGGGCGCTGCGGGGAAGCTGGGCGGCGGGGCGGGCTGGGGAGGTCGCGGGGGCGGCTCTGGGAAGGGGTAAAGGTCCCTCCTAACCCGGCAGGGTGAGTGCGGCTCGCGGCCGGAAGGGCGAGCAGGAAGCGGCGACAGGGCCGGGCGCACTCACCCCGGGTCCCTCCCCGACGCAGAAGCCGAGCGCCAGCTGGAAGCGCTCGGAGGCGCGGCAGGGCTGCGGGAAGGCCACGCACAGGACCTCGCCGTAGTGCGAGAAGGGCCGCGTGTGGAAGGCCACGGGCTCCGCGGACGGCTCCTCCGCGCCGGGCCGCTCCCGCCGCAGCGTGGCCGCCGTCACCTCCAGGCACGGGTGCGAGTCGAGCCGCAGCTCGGCGGCGCCCTCGGGCAGCAGGCAGCGCAGCTCCAGCACCGCCGTGCCGCTCAGCCCCCGGCTCCCCGGGCCCGGCCCGGGCGGCCCGAACTCGACCCGCAGGTCCAGGTGCAAGTGCAGCATCTCGAAGGCCCGGAAGCTGGAGGCCGAGGCCACGTCCACCGCCTGCGCCGAGTGCAGCGGCCGCCGGGCCGCGCCGCTGCCGCTGCCGCTGGTAGGAGGCCCGCAGCCCGCCATGTCCGCAATTGCCGCGATCGCCGCGGGCAATGCCTGCAGTACTCAGCCGGCCGCGGAAACCACGCCCCCGCTGGCGCCGCTCCGCCACAGGCCACGCCCCGCCGACTCCGACCCCACCCCCTCTTCCCCGTAGCCCCACCCTTCTACGCTCCCGAGGGTACCGCAGTACTTTGCCCCGTGGGTTGGTGGGATCATTGGTTCACCTTTGCCCGAGTACCCTATTGAGATGTTACATTAGTACCCGCGGGACACTCCTCTCTGCTGACCTCTCCTGATTCCCCCACTTGCAGGCAGACAGCCAGATGCGGGGACCTGATCCCCGGATTGGAAGGGTCTGGGTTCGAAATCTTCCTGCGCTGGGCCAATTATTAGGCTTATGAATGTCATCGCGGGCAAATTGTCCAAGAAAGGTGACTCTTTCCGAGCCTCTTTCTGTAGAAAAGGAGTCACGACGCCTCCCTATCTCGCTTGGTAATTGTGAGAATTTAGTCAGGTACTGTGTCCAGCACACTTGGTAAACAGCACCCTATAGAGCTGCAAGGGCTCGGCTAGCACACTCAGGCTCCTCGCCTGGGGACTTCAGGACGTCGTCTTTCCATTATCGCTCAGGACAGACCCGGAGTCAGCCCCGAAGTTGGCTGTCGGTCGCAGTCACTCCTGTTGCCCTTGCGCTGGGGTACAGTTTCCTGAGTTAGTTACATCGCTCTACTGTTTCTGTTCTATATATTTCCAGCAGACGGTAATGGCATTTCCGTGAATCCAGGCCAAGCAGTTTTTACTCATCCGTTAGAAAATCAGTTTTGGGGTGGGAGGTACTGGGAATTGAACTCAGGACCTTGTGCTTGCCAGGCAGGCATTGTGCCATTGAACTATATCCCCGGCCGAAAATCAGATTTTTAAAAAAAGAACAATGCGGGGAGTTTTTTCATGAACAAAAACAATATCCTATTATATGCTTCCTAGTTTGTTTTTTTTTTTTTTTTTGTGGTACTGGGGATTGAATTCATGCCAAGCAGGCGCTTATGCCACTGAGCTGTATTCCCAGCCCTGCTTCCTAGTTTTATAGTGTTGAAACATTTTATGAAATGATTATGTTGGATGATTTTAAATTCCATATAAATTCAACATCAGGTTTCTTTTGCTGTTTTGCCTGTGAGTGCCTGTGTGTGTGCGTGTGTGTATGCGTGTGTGTGTGTCTGTGTGTGTGGTGGTGGTGGTGGTACTGGGGATTGAACCAAGGCCTTTGCACTGAGGTATAGGCCCCAGACCTTTTTTTTTGAGAAAGGGTCTTGCTAAGTCACTGAGTTGCCCAAGCTGGGCTCGAACTTGCAATCCTCCTGCCTCTGCATCCCGCAGTGCTGGGATTTTAGGTATATGCCATCATGCCTAGCCCAAGTTTCTGTATAACTTCAGAAACTCTGGAAAACTGTTTTTCTGTGGTACTGAGCATAGTGCTTAGTACCATCTGTTGCTTAATATACCTGCCTTGAAGTCACTTTCTCTTCTGAAGTCACTTTGGCTGAGTAGCTACTCTACTCCAGCAGTTAGGCCAAGTGCTGAGAATACAACTCGAATGAACCTGGTGGAGACCTCGTGGTGTTCCCATCCACCACACACACACACACACACACACACACACACACACACTCTTGCGAAGGCTGGCCACGCCCAGTCCGTGTGCTGTCATAGGTTGCAGAAGGAGAGGTTGTTCTGGGAGCTTGGGGAGAGATAGCCTAGTCTCCCAGCAACTATTGCTGGAGGAAGAGAATACTACCCATGGCTGGAGGGTGAAACCGTTTTGGAGTTATGATACTTTTTTTTGTGGTGACAAAAGGGTTCAGGTTCTCTTGTAGCACACTTCTGCCCAGAGCGAGCTGGGCAGTCATGAAGCACTGCACTAATGAGGCCTAAAAACTGCCCAAGATATAAAAGTAAATACAAAAGCCATCCTTTCCTCCCCTGAGCAGAGGTTGTATCTTTCCCAGAAAGGTTAAAACACACAGATGTCCTTCTGTAACTCTAAAGGGGCTTTGTGAGGCCTAAGCCCAGGCCTGGACAACTTGCAACTTTGATGTCCTGCTTTAGTTACAATGTAGGTGTTCCTTAAGGAGGAACAGAGCACAGGATGCCCCGGAAATTCCATTTCTAAGATACAAACGTTTGCCAACTCAGACTCTTTCCCGCATCTTCACTCCCTTAAAAAAATCCTAATCTTTCCCCCAGCTGTGGGATTCCTCTCTTGGAGACTCACCCTTTGCCCTTCTGGATAGTGTGCTCAGTGACCAGTGAACTCTTGCCTTCCCGCCTTCCTTGTCTACTGATAAATTCTCACAGTAGATAACGTAACTACATTTTACGTCATGACCATGGTCTTGTATCTTTCATCACTCATGCAAATGGACATCATCTTTTAGTCAGCTTCACCTCTTCATATTGTAAAGGCTTTCTTATTTTCCATGGTTTTTAGCTCTTCTGGAAGTCTAAGTCAACTTGGTCTTTCTGCTCAGTTCCAACCTAT